ACTTCATCTTGTACCTAAAACTGCTATATCATGGATATCAAATCGAGAGGTAAATTTTGGTACCAACGTTGTCAGCTGAATTGTCATAACTCTTTGTATGTACAAACCCCAGAGGTAAAATGTATCAATGTTTGTTTATTTTGTGATATGATATTTTAATTAGATTAGATGCGCATTATTAAAGTAAGAAATTGAAAAATATATTTGTGAATTTTCTAAATTTTAGAGCAATTGGTTTACTAGTTTCTAAGATAAATTTACAAATTTTCTTGTATATGTAGTTTTGTTCGTTTTTTATTATCTGCATCTCGAAGATAAAAAAGAGGCAGATTAATAAATCATAAATATAGGAGCATATTATTTTATAAAATTCAAACACAATTGACCTAACAAAATTTTGAGAGGGCATCCTCAAATTGTTGATGGGGACATACGGAAACGGGAGGTCTATATTTTCTTTTATATTTTTACATACTTATATAAAATTAGAGACTTTGATTTTGCGAATTTTATTTTTTTATGACAACCCGTAGATTCATAACCCATAAGGTTAGGAGTATGTTATTATATAAAATTTAAATAACATCTAGTGTGCAAAATGTTTATGTAACTTTATTAACTTGTTGGTGGGGATGATAAGACAACAATCAGTACAATAATTTCGGGATTTATTTGTCTAAGAAAATCTAGACGACAGACAGATATACAGACAGACGGAAACGGGGGACCTCTTTTCTCATACCGTACGGGTCATGAAAAGTCAGAAAAAATGGACCTTATTACAATATTTCTCTAGCTTACGATCGGAAAGTAAAAAATTAAAAGAAAATTAGCGTTTTATTTTGTTGGAATTATTTTATTTTAGTCAGTGTTCACTTTCGTTTGATTTATATTTTCGTAATTTTACAAAAAAGTAAGACAAAAAAGTCCAAACAATTTTTTTTTTTTTTTGAAAAATCACTAGATTTAAATCGCGATTCAAATCTGATTTAAATCGGACCAACCCGAATTTAAAGTATACTATTATTTAAAAAGGTCATACGCATTTCACTGTACGTATTTTTGCGTCACTGTATTTACAAAAAGTCTGCTACATTTTCCGATATACAGGATTAGTGCGAAGAGTTTCAAAATGATTTTCATCTAGTTGCCTATGGCTGCAGATTTTAATCAAGGAAAGCTAGAAGTTGAAGCGATTTCAAAGCTATCTAGATGAAAATTATTTTGAAACACCCTTTATAAAGTCCCGGAACGATTGAATAACTTTATTATTTTAAAAGCTTTTTTTGGAAGTTTTGTGTGAATATGTATATAATTAAACATCGCGACTTGATTAAAATATTTTTTTATAACTTTCGGTTTGACACACAAGGCCCTCTACTTTTTTTTAATTTTTGACATTTTCTGATTTAGAATAAAAAACTAATTTCAGACATTATCAACATGTTTGTTTCTGGTGTTACAAAAAATAGAAAAACATTTACAAAAAGACACCTAATTTTGGAAAATCACATCATCTTTGAAAATAGATACTAATCAATAATAAACTATGAGTGGGACTACAATAAATGCTCAAAGTGTTCTCCGTTTACAATTTGACAGTGATCTAATCGATCAACAAAATGTCAACAAATTTTGTATTACTGATTTTACAATATTAAGTGTTTTTTGTGGGTTTTTTTTCTATTTTTTTTTTTGTATCAGAAATAAACATGTTGATAATTTGTCAAAATAGTTTTTTATTCTGATTCAGAAAATGTCAAAAAAATCTGAGTGTTCCATTAAAAAAAAAACTCAAACCGATAGCGATAAAAAAGGAAAAATGTTGTAATCAAATCACCATGTTTAACTATATATCCAAAGCAAATTTCAGAAAAAAAAACCGTTCCTGGACTTTATACTAACCCTGTATAATGTTATGTCTAACAGTCCTAGCACTATGTTTATGTAGCATAAACTTCAAAAATTGGAATAAATCGGCGGAAAATATTTTCATATAATGGGCACCTTCTTTAACATCGCAAACATGAAACATGACATGGAATGCATGATTATAATCGTTGGACTACATATTTAAAAGCGTACCGTTTTATTCCACTTTAACTTATGAATTTACAATTATGTCAGGAATTCTGGGATCACAGTAATACTATAATTATTACGTTACATAGTATATAACAACACCTAATGATAATGAAATTACTTTCTAAAAACAGTAAACTTAATATAAAATGTCGACGCCGTTCGGAATAAGGTTAGCATTATCAGATTGTTTATTCTATTATTAAATGGGGAGAAATGGCAGATAAGAACATCAGACTGTTAAAAGCACTATCGTTATTTTTAAATACATATATATTTTTAGAGGTCTTTGAAGCATATGCAAATTTACGGGCGTGATTGCCCCAATTAATTTGAAATCATCTTCGTCAATTCTCTGACAATTTTTTCAAATATGTTGAGATATGTTTTGATATGAATGTGATGTTAGTTATGTATCAAGAGCAAGATAAGTTCTGCGTTGAATATTGTCAAATCTGTTTCATCAAAGTTAAGTTACAAACTAACTTAACCGCTACTTTCTGGTGGTGAAAATGTTTCAAAAGATAAAATTCCTTGTCACCATGTGATATAATATGCTTTACAAAAAATACTCTACGGATTTTATGTTAATGTGCACCGTGGAAACTTGAAACTTACCGACTTTTTCATTTATAACATATTAAATTATAAATTACTGCCACAAATACTGAAAAACCACTGGTGCAGTAAATCTTAATTTTTTTCAGGCCGTACCTGGAATTTCAACTAATTTATTCAATATGTAAAATTGATTATCTTTAAATAGATTATTATGAAACCTTGTGGTGCCTTTTTGTTAGCATCTAATCTGTTTTATTTTTTAGTAATTTCACTCAGCAATCACTTTCATTTATTTATACTAATCCTGAAGTAAAAAGATTGACGTTGGCACGTTCACAGCAAATTATTTATATCTAATTGATTATCACTACCCCTTTTTATTGCAACCGGGAAAAAGTGGCCTACTCTTTACCCCGGTGCTACCTGTAGAATCTCCAAGTGTCAAACGCCCAGCTGCAACACAAGTAGTCAATTTCAGGCAATGTCTATCTAACACGTAAAAATCATCTGGTAAATGCAAGATAGTTTTAGGTAACCCGTCTGTATGTTTTTACAAATTTAGATTCTTTAAAAAAGAAAAAAAATGGTATTAGACACAAGCGTTTTTTAATCAACAGTTTTCAAGATATTTGCATTTTTATGTAAAAAATGTTCAAATTTAAAAATACAGCCCCACTATTTTAAAAATGGAAGGAAGTTGAAAATTTTGTATAAAGCTTGCTTTAATGTACAGATGTTTGAACTTGATGAAAATGACTAAAGCTCCAAATTGTCCGTTTTTTCATGTTTTTTTTTTATGTAGACACTAGTATTTCATAATATTTTCAAACTTGGCTTGAAGCAAGTTTTCTTTCGATACGAAGTTTGTTGAGGTTTTTCTAACAGTAATACCATAAATAAAATTATTAGGATAAACCGCAACAAATCTGATACCGAAAGCTCTCAAATTTAATTACCCTCTATAAATAAAGTTTGAACTGATGTTGCACAGAAAACCTTTTCTATCATTCGAGATCTTGGACACATTGTAAGTGGACGGAAGAACTAGATATTATTAGAAAAATATTTTAGCAACATATGCTCAGTTAATTCACCTCAAAAGAAAGTTTTTTTTATTAGGTACATAGATTACTTTACAATCATAGTATTGTAACTGATGTACCTATTTTGGACGAAAAGTGTACCTTATTGTGTAGATCCCAAATAACCCAGTGTTGATTTCTTTTCAAATATTTCTAAGAAACTAATTTTCCAGCAGCTGTGTGTTATTAATTAATGTTAATTAAAATTTATCTAAAAATAGGTATTATAATATTAAATGTGTAATAAAGTGGAATCTATTTGCATTTTCGTGCAAACATAATAGAAAAAATATGGACGATATAACAAAAAACAAAATTATAATTTTGCCAAACAACTGGTTGTAAACCTATACTTTTGTAATACGAATGTGATACCTATTACTTCGTTCGGCTTATCGTTTATACATTTAAAGGATTTTAACCTGACGTTAATTTACATTTATCCAAAAAAAAGCCAAAAAAACGAGCGAGTCCCGAATGACTAATCTGTTATTCGATCAGGTGTACATGTACGTAACTAAGCCGCTATAAGTACACATCACTGATCTGTTTTAAAATGAAACCACCCTGTAAAGGATTATGGTGCACTCGCAATAAGCGGATAAGTATAATCAATTAATATTTTATAAGTCGTCATTCAATAATTACTACTACTGGTCTATAGAAACCTATTTTATAAATTCTCTTTTTATTGATTTACCCTATAACACGTCATCTTCTTCAAGCGCTTATTTTTAAACGAGAAACATAATAATTTTAAAATTGTTTCACAAGTGCTGACGTGTTGACGTTTCACGTCCTCTATAATTTAATTTGAGCCTTTAGAAGCAAGAAATAAAAACGAACGTCATAATTTGCATTCACTTTGTTCGTAGGCAAATAGAAAAGGCGCTGTTAAACGAAGCGACTTTCTGGAACAATTGATTTAACCACCAGAAATGTTATTTCGTATTTCCCTAATCCTATTGGAGGTATTGCCTTACACCATTGACATGTTCCCTCTGTTCTCTGAGGTACTGGTTAATATTAATGAGGCGGAGGAGAAGCCGTATTAACTCTCAAAGAATAAGACGGCGGATTATTGGTGATTAGCGGCAGACATCTAAACTTCAGACCGTAACCAAACCGTAAGACGAAAGAAGATTGGATATTCGAAACCAAAAAGACTAATCGCTGGAAAATTTTACACGTCTCACTGATTCCTGTTTTAATTATTAATTCTATGTAAATATTCTCCTTCTAACGACTTAAAGTGTTGTTTTCTTTTTATTTCAGGTAACATGCCTTGAAGAACATTTTACTTACGAGGGTCGTCCTCGTCAAGTAGACAAGTATGAAGAGACTTCGTAAGCTACACTTCACGATCCTGCTTCTACTTCATGCTGGTCTTAACGAGGCAGTTGATCCATGTAGGTACCCGATATTGCCTTTGACTCCGAATTAATCAATTCGTTAAACACTTCAACTTTTAATTTCTCAATTTAACAGTATTTGCAGCTGCGAATGCAAGAAAGTATTTGGGTCGTATAAATAAAGTCAGATGGTGGAATTACACTATCGATTGCTTTATATTGACAAAGCACACGATATTTAAAAAATTAAGTTTTAATACGATATGAAAACTACTTGAACTGATATTTTTGTAACCGCGCGCATACGCTAAAACTAGAAGCGTTAGAGCAAGCCAACTAACCCAGATCCTTTGTTTTTTGAATTCCGAAACGACCTAGGGACACTTGAATGTATTTACGAGACACAAAATAATCAGAAATCGGGGCTATCAGGCTGAATTGCTAAAATTTGGTGAGAAAACTGTTTTTCAGTGCGAATGTGATGGTTGTCTCGGCGTTTCCGTCTCTAATAGAGAGGCTGAAACGTTAGTTAACATTTTCAGCGCTTGAACTCGAAGCGCGTTAAAGGAATCCATTTCGTGTGAATGTTACACTAATGTTTAAACTTTTAATTTGGATATTTATATTTTTGTTGTCACCATTCGCAAAATCTTTCGAGTCAAAATAATTTTTTTTATAGTTATTGATTGTGGCACCAGTGTAGAAAGCAATATTTTAGAGAAATAAAGTTAAGTTTTTGACAAGGTGCTAGCTGATTGATTGTCGTAGCAGTGCTAGCTTTTTGTGTACATGGAGTGCGCTGTAGATTTTTCTAAAACGGTATTCTCCATCTGTCTTGCCCAGAATAAGTGGAATGCAAGGGAAAAATGTTTTTTTTTTTCCAAACGTCAAAAAATCACTATTTTTTATTGTTTTTAGACAATAAAGTAGATTATTTTGTTGTAAATAATAAAAAGCGACAGTTGTCTAGGCAAAGAAACTACTTTTTGACTCTTCAAGTTTTCACTTCATAATAAAACAACAACATTGAATTATTTATTGGTATTTATATTAAACGTAGAGTTACTACAACTTTTGAAAATTAATCATTCTTATATTATCAATGGTGTTGGTGCTATTGGTAATGTTTTCTGTGGCAGATACACTGGTTGAACATTCTCTGTCAAAACGTAGTACTTTTTGAGGAGTCGTCTTCTTTTCTGCAATACCTGTCATCTTTTTAGTAGTGCTGTTAACTGTGGTGATGCTGGCAATATAGGCCAGTGCCGAAACCTTTGAAAATGGTAAAAAGTGAAAAAAAATTAGAACAGAATGATACCCATTGGAAAAGGAAGAAAATATAACAAAAATAAAAGGAAAAATAATCTACGGGCGATCCGAGGTCGGGAAGTGAAAGAGGGTGAGCTTTTAAAGGTTGAAAACGGTTTATCACGATTTCCGGCAAAACTACAAGTCCTATCGCAAAAAGTTAAATGGCAAAGTTGTAGGTAATGAAAAGGTCTACACCTTGTATTTACACTTTCTTTACATAACCTCAAAATTTATGCGAAAAATGCAAATAACCGAGTTTTTGGTTTTTTATTTTTATCTCTCATAAAAAAATTTTTTTTTGGTGAAATTTGGTGAAAACTTACCTATTTATGTCCCAAACTCATTGTAATTTTTTGATTCAAAATATTTATTTTTTCGCCTTATTTTGATTTAATATCGAAAAACCACCCTAATTTTCAATCGAAAATTCTCACGTCAAAATATTTGCTTTTTTAAAAAGATCGGTGTGCTTTTTGTTCGCTGAAATCTGTACTTTCTGATGGTGTAAAAAAATTATACATTACAATGGCAAATTTTCACAGGAAATGCAAAAAAAACGAAGAAACTCGAATTCAAAAAGTTGTTTCTTAATTATTATGTAAAATTTGGAGCTATTTATTAAAATTTATACGTTAATTACTCGAAAAACGTAAGATTCCATGTTACATTAATAAATTAAAAAATTACAAATCGAAATATACTACTGTAATTAACAACCAAATAAGTTAACAAACTTAATACTTTATAAGACATCTACAATATTTTGTTAAAATTGTAGGATAATTTTTAAATGATATGCATAGGTGCCTATTTAATTCTATTTTAAGAATCAGAAGAATGAACATCGTTTATAAAAATACACGTGCAGGCTGAGTTCCTTGAAGAGAATCGTGACGAATTGACTTATTTAAAAGAAACTTTTGGAATCTACAGTCACAAGGATTTTCCTGTAAACAAGCAGAAGAAGATGCTGGTGGTGACATAATTAAGATCTCGATAGAAACTGCCAAAGATACAAATAAAACTGTCATAGTTGTGAGTCAAGATATTGATCTTTTGGTCCTTTTGAAGCAATTGAAGAAAAACATCGTAATCTTTGCCTAGTCTTCTGATATACAGGGTGTTATTGAAAGGCACGTACAACAAAATTGACAGTTATTCGCGAAGTCTAAGAAGTCTGAAAAACTTATTTTGTATTATCAAAATTATAAAGGGAAAATTGACCCTTATCCAACCTTTTTAGATGCTACTGAAGGATACATACAAATAGGTAAAATTAATTTATTTTAGTAAATCCTAGCAACTGTAACAATAAAACTTTTGTCAATACTAAATGTTGCTATAGAAATGAAAGTTGTTTTTTTATCAGAGGCGTACAACGAATTTGGACATAAATTTTAATAATTTTTATCTCTAAAAGGAGAACACTTTTACCTGAACTTTTTTTTACTTTTAGCACCCATACTTCAAGACAAATTGCCGATTTCATTTTGTACGTACCTTTCAATAACACGCTGTATAAAATTCTCGTGTCACAGTATGTGTAACCAAACTCACCCGAAACGGCTTGACTGATTTTTATGAAATTTTGTGTCTATGTCCGGTAGGTCTGACAATAGGTCGTAAACTATTTTTTATACCCCTAGGTGACCCAATTTTTTTTGGGTGGGCCACCCCACAGCCATCTTGCAATAGGGTTGCAAGATGGCTGTTGAATATAATCATTGTCGTACGATAAATTTTTATGTATAATTTATAATTTAATTTAATTATAATTTATTTATTTATTTTAATTTAATTTTTTATTTAACTACTAAAATATTCACTAGAAATAATTTATATGGCAAAACAACGTTTGCTGGGTCTGCTAGTTAGACGATAAAAATTTGTCAAATTTGGCCAATATTTTTTATAAAAAACATGCAAACAAAGAAGATATCGCAAAAAATGGATTACTCGGCTGGCAGTCGGCGACTGGTCGGCTAAACAGCCGATCGGTCGGCTTTTTTTTATTAAAATTAAAATAGTATATAAAACAATTAATTAAACCCGGTTTATAGAACCTCAATTAAATATTTAATTGCGATTTAATTTTTAACCCCGCGTTAAAGTACCATGTGACCGACTCTACACCAATCAGACGTCGCTAATGGCCTTGTTAAATGCGCAATCAACTTAATCTCAGTTAAAATATTGTATAAACTGGCCCTAAATTGTGTTATTATTATATTATTTATTTTTGCACTGAGTTACAAAAAAAAATAAATGTTAAAATAATCCAAACAAATTTAACACAATTTTTGGAAAACAAAGGAACTTTAGTTATCCCTTTTATTAGAATCATAAAACAAATTTCTAAGGTAGTCAGAGAAATAGAAAAAAACACACTGTCTGTCGCATTTATAAACCGGTTTTAGCAAAGCCGAACAGTCGGCCGACTAGTCGATTTTTACTGGCCGAACAATCGGCTAGTCGGTTAGTCGGCCAGACCTACAGTCGGTACATCTCTACAATTAATCAAATATATTTATAAATGTATAAATGACAATATAACCCTGAATCAATTAAGATTTCGAAAATTAATTGGCATCTTTCATATTGACAAATCTCCCACCAACAGAAGGCGTTTGTTTTATGGATTTTCAATTTTTGGTTTATCAATGCAACATGGAATCTTACTTTTTTCGAGTAATTAAAGTATAAATTTTAATAAATATCTCAAAATTTTACATGATTAAAAAAAAATTCGAATTCGAGGTTTTTCGTTTTTTTCGATTTCCTGTGACAATTTGCCATAGTAATGTATACTTTTCTTTACACCATCAGAAACTAGAGATTTCAACGAACTAAAAGCACACGGATTTTTTAAAAAAGGCAAACATTTTGACGTGAGAATTTTCGATTGAAAATTAGGGTGGTTTTTCGATATTAAATCAATAAGGGGGAAAATAAATATTTTTAATCAAAAAAATTACAGTGAGTTTGGGACATAAATAGGTAAGTTTTCACCAAATTTCGTGAAAAAAAAAATTTTTTGTGGGAGATAAAAAGAAAAAACCAAAAATTCGGTTATTTGCATTTTTCGCATAAATTTTGAGGTTAAGCCAAAAATGTCTAAATACAAAAGTTGTAGATCCTTTTATTACCTAGAACTTTGCCATTTAACTTTTTTCGATAGGACTTGTAGTTTTGCCGTTAATCGTGATAAACCGTTTTCTACCCTTAAAAGCTCACCCTCTTCCACTTCCCGACCTCAGATCGTCCGTAAATTATTTTTCCTTTTATTTTTGTTATATTTTCTTTCTTTTGCAATGGGTATCATTATGTTCTAAATTTTTTTGTTCTCAAAAATTATCGGCACTGGCCTAATAGGTTCATCCAGGCGTAATATTTTCTTGGCAGTCTCGTTTTTGTTGTAAATTGATTCTTCAGTATACCCCTCAGGCACACAGGTGCTTTTCCAACCCCCGTGTCTCTCGAGTGAAGTTATCTCACCAAGAGTGATGCGGAAGTCCTTCACAAGCAGTGCCCGGTGTATTGGTTAACATTTGCAAGCTTTAAATATTTTGATACTTCTTCTGCGGCACTACCAATTTGGTGATTGCCAACCATAATTCTGTAACATTTGACTTTGATATTTTACGAAAAAAGGACATTCATTGAAATTTTTTGAACGAAGAGCTGCGTATTTTCTATAAATACGTAAATAAAGTTCTCCCAAAACAGTGAACGCTCTGGCTTTGTTTGCTTTTGTATTAGCAATTTTCACCAGTAGAGCAGTCAGAGATCTTCGATATCATTAACTTTTAAATGCACCAGTTCATCACATCTACTCCCAAGGTTATAACCTACAATATTTGTCACGAATATTATTATTGCGTTTTCTCATATTTATGTTCATACATAGAGAGTACGATAATAATTGTCAGTTTTTACATCAAGGTCCGATATACCAAAAGGATATTTCGTATTCTCTTTTTGAGGTAGAGGACATTTTTTTTTTAATATTTGATAAAAGCCATTTTATGTGTGGCCCCTACGTGAGCTGCTGAAACAAAACATCTAACCGCGCAGCGTTCGTCAGCATATTTGTGTGCACGGAATGCAGTGTAAATTTTTCTAAAATGATCTTATCTATCTGTCTTGCTCAGAGTAAGTAGAGTTATTGGCATGGTACGGAAAAAATATGTTATCCTCTGAAACTTTTAAATAAAACGTCGTCTTCCACAAATTGAGCTATGAATTAATATGCTCCAAGATATCTTTTTCTCATGTTCTCCGTTAATTATTGTTATTGCTATTTTTACGAACTTACCATATAGGTTATACTTCATATACGTTCCTTTTCGCACGAGGTTTAATGGCAACACTGACGCTTTTGTATTCATGCGAAAGGAATTCTTTGTGCCTTTCGCACGAATAGAGCGAAATATCAATGTCAGTTCACCGAAGAGTTGGAAACAGTTCGGAACCTTATGCAATTGTTAATTAATAGCATAATTAACTGACTAATTGTAATGACTAATTAAAATTAATGTATATAGTTATACCATATTTTTTGATATAAATACTTTCGTTGTATGTGCATCAAAAGATATACTCACATTTTAAAGCCAAGTCTTTGATTTGCTTTATTTGTACGACCCGAACAGTAGTTGGTGCGATCTCAATCTAACTTTAAGCTCACCTGTGGCTTTATGTTGGCTAATGCACCAGAGCTTTCGTTAGCATGTGAACTTTTATTCGATTTTTTGCGACTTATTTTATGTTTGTCTCATTTGCAAGAAAGTGATCGAATATATTTGAAGCTAAAAAGTCGATAAAACCGGAATAATTAAATCTGAAGGCACGGAAAGTTCAAACATAAAGTAGGTTTTTTATTGACGTGACCTGACCTTTTCAAGAGTTTAGCTACATACAGTTCTCATGATTGTGTCCGTTTTTTCCTGCAGCACAATGTATCGCTCCACTGGGAATGGAAAATGGGGCAATCAAAGACGACGACATAACCGCGAGCTCCTCATTCGATAGCGGTAATGTGGGTCCTCATCACGGCCGGTGAGTTGATATTTATGCTAATCGAATAAGCTAACCGTGAATGCACTCTCGCAATCCTTCATGTTTCTAAATTGAATGGTCCCGAAAGAAATTCATAGAATTGGCCAACCGACCTAAAGAGCACGCTCCGTTTCTGACATTGACAGATGGCGGAAGGCGTTAGACGCAAACAGACGGAATATGAAAATTTGAAAGCACCCTCCAGGTCTGTTGCTCCACTCAATCTTCTCCTCGGCGAATTCTGTCAGGTTTATGAGAATTTAAAACCCTTGCCGTGCGCCCGGATCAATAACTATACTGGCCTAGGTGTTCCGTCTAGTTTGTAGGCCTCATCTACTCTGCTAATTGGTGTAACTGAAGCTGCTACTGAAGCAACGCAAAAAAGTATATGCATACACAACTGGGTCTTAATGCAGTGCATACGTTTTTTTCGACCTGGAGATCGAAATTTTTTCATCATAATATCCCGATACATAAACGCCAATATAAATCCTTATAGATGACATTTTTTATAAAGAGATTTAATAGTTTCATAATTACGAAGTAATATTAAACACAGAAATAAGGATATCGCAGCATATTTTATTATTAATAGCGCATTATGCTAAACAAGACATCGCCGTTGGGTAAAAGTTACGGTTTAATTTTAGTTACAACACTACATTAATATTGGTTTTTCAGCAATACCATAGTAGCTATAGTGCCGATGAGATAATTTCAGGTAATCTGAAGTAAATTTCACTTTTCGGATTAATTTAGAAATTAGTGATTGTACAGCAAAAGCATAATTATCTATTTTTTTTTACGTTTTTATGTTACACTGTTAACTCAGAAACCAATAATACCGTGATTATTTAAATTAGTGAAGGCTGTGGCCGTTAAATTGACAGATTTTAATTGCCTTTGATACATTCAGCTGGGTTGGTGTTTGAAACGTTAAATTTTTTGAAAATAAAAGTGCAAAATGGTTTTCTCTGTGGAACATAAAACACTAGTTTTTCTAGTTTTCAACAAAAGCTAACCTTCATTTGTAAATTGATTTATGTCAGTATGCAACCAACATTACACATCTGTTTGTTTAATTGCATAATCTGAAAAGTATCCGAAACCGAGAAGACATACCTTGAAAATCGCACAGCATTCAATGTAAATAATTAATGAACACACATTACAGTAGGATACCTATAAAGTATTTTCCACTGCAATCTCAATTAACAATGTAGAACCTGCATCCGCGAATATTATTAACATATCTCCGCGCTGTTAATGGACCTCCACCTGAAAATCGTTTTTCTCGTGGATTCGCGACTGTTGTTTTGCCATGTATATACTTACAGCATTTCATGTGGAACACCCATTTCTCATGGATTCGCGTGGGTCCCCGAATTTAATCGCCTTGGTCTAACTAATAAAAGCTTACCACTGAAATGAATGAACGTAACTAGATTACCGCAGTTTTTTCGCTGATTTAAATTATTATGAATATATTAAACAAATACTAAAATCGTAGATAAAATGTTGTTCATTGCAGATGAGCTGACGTATGATTATGACATTTGGAACGTAAATAACCATATAGGTTTCAGACATTTATTTCCGTACGAAATTCAACACACATAGCATCTTTTGTTGTTCTTTTACAAACGTATCCAATAATATTAAGTATAATCAAGCAGATACGAGTATATACATTATAGTTTGTAAAATATTATTAATTTGCTCCAAAGGAACCTTCAACTTGGTTGTCTACTCAATCCATTTCTTGTTGAATATCGTTTTTTTACATCGTGAGCCTTTTTATAGAGATGATTGATAGCTATTTATTAAGGAACCGTTTGAGCATTTTATTTCAGTAGAACTACCCCAAAAATCAATTTTTGGGCCCATTGTTTCCTAATTTGCATCCAGCTGATCTCCGTCGCCTTGCAAGTCGGCGATAATGATTCTTTTGCACCAGCGTCAAATATTTTTCACTGAGTTGCTTTTAATTTATTTTATTTTATTTTATTTGAGTGGTGAATACAAGTAGTAAGGTGTGTACCCAAACAGAAACTTCTGTGGAAACATACGTTACCATATTCATACTTAATACAAAAAGGGAATAAATGTTTAAAGCGGTTGCAAAATAGTCTAACCATTTCGTTTAGATTTCCAATTTACTTCATTTTCATTACATTTTCTATAGTCGCAGTTAGAACTGCCATGCTCTCTCCTTTAAGGGTTCAAACAGATTATTCGAATGATGGCGTTACTAATCATTGGCTGTAGAAAAAAATTAGAAATATCTTTACTTCTAAGAAGAAAATACTTGTGTTTAAGGAAGATCTTGAAGCTTAGTAAATAAGTAAACCATCTAGTTCGGAAATGGTATAACTATCGGAGTCTATACTAATGGACCATTAGCGAAATTTGAAACTCGTTGACAATGGTTTTTTTTAAACGTTTTTCCGTTCCAAAAGCAAAATTTGCGTACCCTGTTTCTACATTTTACTAGGTATATCTCTTTCAGTCCACTTTCATTGGTATAGCGACAACCCTATTTCCAGTGATGGTGTTCTCCATATGTTTTTGGTTCTGCCAATTATAATAACCTTTTTGCTCGTACCAATGAGGCAAATCTTTCCATGGAACTGAACCTGGAGTACAAAGTAATTTTTTTTTGTTAAGCAAATGTAATAAATATAAAGTTTCATCTGTCTCCTGTTTCGGTTTTTACGGTGAAATCTGTAACTACAAACGTGGCAGTGGCTACATTTTTTTCGCGACTTTCATTCAATCTAAAGTTTCGAAACTTCTTACATTTTGCTATGTACTCAAACCTTTTCGCCTGGATAAACGCCCATAGAGGCATTTTAAATAATGAAAGACTCTAAATTACAGCCGGTACCACGAAACTCCACCAACTTTTCTCTCGAAACGAGTTTACATCTGGTGAAACTGGAGACAATGTTTTCCCTACACCTTACAATCGAATCTGCTTCTGTCTGTCCTCCAAGTTTACTTATACGCAAAAGTCACCAACAGAATTCTGTTGGTACTAACGTAAATGGGTAACACGCTAACAGAGCCCACTATACCCGTCGACTTGATATAATCCCCTACTCGTGGGATTCCTGCGACCGTCAGCCGCTTATTTTTTTATTGTAACCGGAATGTAACCCGAATGATTTCCACACCACTTTACTCAACTGACTCCCCAGTATTGGTATACATTGGGCTTTCTCCGAAGAAGAGTAATCTTTATATTTGTATTTGTGCAACGTAGTTTTTTAACGCGTTCCCGTAAGGATCTGGTTTATCTTCCTTTGCTTTTTTTTTGTCTGCCCGTGGTAAGCTTTTGTTGTATTGTATACTTGAACTAACCCTCAACAACTTCTCAGGAGAAGGGAAGAAGGTTAAAATTTATCGGACGAGTTTATTTGGTCATGGCTGTAAAGGAATATCTGTTCAAAAAATGGGTCTAAAATTATTGAGACAGAACTTCCCTCACCCTAAAGTACAGTCCAACAAATCCAGCTTCTTTAAAAAAATATAATATTTGATTATGCAAAGCTTAATTTAGTTTATTAATACCAGTGTAAGAGAAAAAGTGGCCCATGTGGTGATCCAACACGCACTCTTCGCATTTTTAATATACCTAACCCTACATATAGATGCCTAAGGTAAACAATCAATTCATGAACCACACAATTGAAGGAATATGTTATTTTATAAAATTTGAATAGTATTTACGATGCAAAAATTTAGAGGTGACGTCAGCAAATTGTTAGTGGGGATGATCTGAAAAATTTTGGTTAGCGTTTTAATATCTGCACGACGTTCCCTAAATACGTGTAAAATTTTTTAACAATCGCTTCGGTCATTTCGGAAATTACATACGGAAAGAGGAAACCAATTTTTTGTTACTCTAAGGGTCATGAAACATCGAGAAAACATGAAGTAGCTATTCGCCAGATTAATGTTATTACAAGCTTATTATCTTATACTCGGGAAGTAAAAAAGCATAGAAAATTAAATGATGGACACATCAACATATAGTGTTCATTTTTTCTTAGGAACATAAAAACGGTCTAAACAGTTGAAAAATATTGTTACCTTTTAAGATTGGATTCGGCGGTAAATGATGATCTTACCCAAAACAGATTGAAATAAGGTCTATACGACTGACGTTGTGAAATATAAAAGGAAATATTATTTTCGCCTTCAAATTTGCTTTGTTATTCTGAATTTTAAAATTCTTGTTCCAATCGCGTTTGTCGTATACTTCAAAGATTTGAAACAACTGATGGAAAATGTGTTTTTCTTTTATGTATTACATTATGCCTGCAGTCAAACAATGTATTTGCCTTCAAAAATGACCAGTCCAACACAAGTCCAGAATTAGACGAAATATTCTACATTAATATTACATTTATTCCATTAAGTTCGTAATTTAAGAAATATGCTCCCATTCTTGTAAAATTCGCTTCTTCCCAAACAATGATAAATACTAATTGAGTTAAAATTTCTCATCGAGCAGTTAACGTTGGTATTCAAAGAATTAAATTTATTCACCCTATTGTCCCCATTTAATCTCACCGAATGCAACATACCAAACACAGATTTGTGAGGTCAACTCGTTTCTGTGGGTCTTACCCTTTAGAAACAACTTCTTTGTCTCAGGTGCCATAATGCTTCAGCATTTTAATTGTCAAACTAGTCCTTTGTAACAAGTTCTAAAACATAATTTATGTGGTTTGACTGCTAACTTTAATAAAGCAATGTAGTCGTTACCTGGATTGTTCACCATTTCTGACTATTCCAAGAATTTCAATATCCATTAATGTTATAATCAATCATTATACCTTTATGCTGAGAAGAGAATAGTTCCTATCCAACTGTTTGATAACTTTAACGCTAATTTAGTCTAATAAGTTTTCCAGTATTCATAGGTTCTATGAACTATGTATGAATAGATACAATATTTAATAGAAGCAAGGATTGAAGGGAATATTAATATAAAAGATTTGTTTTTATTGTTAAGAACATTATTTAATATGTATTAAGAGGTTTTTGACATGAACATAACAAAATATTGATCACAGTACACCTCATTGTTTGTCAAATATTTTTTACCCCATCATCATTTTAACTAATTAGTTAATTAATTAATGAAGCTATAAATCGCACGATAAACTCTTTTGTCACCTAACACCCCAATTTCACATAATTTACATAAAAAAATTAGCACAGACATACATACTGAAAAAATTACAAATCTTAGATTAATACAGCATATGATCGAGAAAAAAAAAAAGAAGGATCTAGTACGTCATGAAATTTATTTTTAAAATAATGGTGTTAACATTGCAGATATTTGACATTTTATTTGACAGTTATTAGACCGTAATTGTCAAACTGAACAAGATACGAGTTGGTGTTGCCATGACATTTTTTTTTTATATTAAGTTTCACAGGTTACTAGGCGGTTTTTTTCTCAATCATAAAATATTCGTATCTGAAAGGTTTAGGTAATATTATTTTTGACTTGAGTAAGGTAACTATGGTGCAACTGAACAACTTGTTTTTTTGGAAAATGATACGCATTTTCCGGTATTGGCCCTTGTGTTAAACTTCTTAAAAAAGAATGATATATTACTTTTATACATTTTACATCAGAGTTCTAATAAATTATTCAGATTTCTACTTCAGGTAATCTGCGAGTAAGTTCTTAGCGACGGAAAAGCAAAGTTTCGGAGTTAGATCCTGCGTTGCATTGTATTGATTAGGTTGGAGGTTGGAGAAGCTTTTTAATTTCATTTTTTAAAGTATCCGCCAGCAAGCTTTCAAGTAGGTTACCCTGGAAACTTTTTCACTTATCGAATAGAACTACTTGGAAGTTTAACTTTGTTTAACGACGCCGAATATAAAATATCTGCCAGTGAGAACGGAGAGTTCCTCCTGAATAATCAAAATGATTTATAAAATCTTAGATTGAATAAGATGAATAAGCAGCTTTATTAAGCAATCTCACGTGGTAATGATTTAATTAAGGACAATTGTGTCTCAGAGAACGAACAGTTTTCCGCCATTCTTTAATTTCCTAGCTTTTATTGTATGTAATTTGGAGTTGATAGGTGGTATTGAAGTCTCACTCTATTCACTATATTATTCATTGTTCGCGTTGTTATTCAATACTCTCTATGTCCAAATATAGTCAACATGTTCGACATGTGCAATAAACAGGCGTACTATTTCAATGCTGGGAACCGATTCTCAACAAAAATGATTCTAAATTAACGTCCGAAATTTGTTTAGAGAAATCATGAAATGATTTCTTGACCTTAATTCGCAAACATGGGTACTGACTGTGTGACCAGTATAAAAATTATCTATGATATCCACGTCCATCGAAACTTTAGTATTAAATCCTCCTGTGCTTATATTTCATTCAATAATATAAATTTTGTTCGTAATTTAATCATTCAGTCTGTACTTTAAGAATGGTGTTTTTCTATTCACTAACTGGTCCATGTTCTTCAAATCCTTCCACACTTTAAGTTCATGGCGAGTTGGCCATTTAAGGATTACGAAGGTCTGGACAATCTAAATAGGCAAATATTTAGCTTAAAATACTTTTCCGTTCACCTATTCAGGACTTGTGCAGAAGGAATCAATGAATAATGGATAGAAGTGCCCCAGAGACCGTTCTTAAAGTACAACGGCAAGGAAACTTCAGAGCTTTTATGGCGCACACTTTCCTCTTTTTGTTGAAAAGTAGGAATGTTCGAACAAGTATTAAGTGATCAATTGGTTTTTTATATTACGTTCCGATAAGAGAATAATCGCAGGAAAGGCATTAAACAGATAATGTTGAAAAGCATATTGTCATTTTAACAAAACGGAATAACATTAAATTTACGTGCACGTAACGATCTTTTAATGGTTCTTTTGCAGCAGCCAGCAGAATGTAGATGCAGAATCTCGACATATCATTATGTGTACCACGAGCGTGTAGTGAGAGGTTTCAAAAAATCTGTTGAAAACTTTTTAGTCGAACACAAAGTTTTTCAGTTGATCTGTCCTAACTTTAGATTTATTTTTCAAGGGTGCGAACTGACAGAAATGGCGGAGCTTGGTGTCCACTGAAGCAGGCAACAACAGAACCCGAAGAATGGATCCAAATAGATTTGAAAACAGTTCATATGATAACAGCGACTGGGACCCAGGGGCGTTTCGGTAACGGTGTGGGAATTGAATATGCGGAAGCTTACATGCTGGAATATTGGCGACCTAGACTATCTAAATGGATACGGTATCATAACACCAAAGGCGAAGAGGTAAGGAAACTCGAAATTTAAGGAATCCTATTTGAATGGGAGTAATGTGGAACGGAAGTTTCTAATTAAAGTTTAATTCATAAAAGTAGACTTAAATACACGTGCCAAAAGTAGTAACCGCTTTCAAGTGCCAAACGTTTTAGAAATTTATGACGAAACTTGAGCAATTATCAAAACTGCAATCATATGTGAGTATTTATTTTAGTATGCCACATGCCCGTCCAGAACACGTCATGTTATTATTAGTAATTGCAGCCAGAAGTTAGACCAAAATAACACTGAAAGCTTTTTCAAAGGCCGGATACTGCTCTTTAACTTGTTTATTTACTCGGCCAGTTTTAATAAATTTATGCTAATGTTGCAAATTGATTGAGCGAATTTTAATTCAGTTCCTTGTAATTTCATATTTTAGGGTTCTGTCGGTTAAACAAAGAATATTGAGGAAAACCCGAACTGTTTTCAGTGCTTTGTGTTGCGTTTATTATTAGGTTTGTCACGCGACCAACCTGCATATTGATTTTTATTGCATTAAAAGCTTACTTACCACACCTTGATGCCGTGTTCCACTATTGTTGAAAGCACTGAAATTACCGCAGAACCGCGTTAAATATGAAAGAATATTTAATATGAACTTTATAGTAGTCCATTTAATTTAAAAAAAAATCCAGATAAGGTACACGAATTTCATGTGACTTATGAGATGTGACAGTGCACATCTAGATGATTTGTTGCATAATTAGGAAAGCGCCTTGAATTGTAGACATTTATCTTCAATTGTGTTCTTCCTGTGCGGCGCCTAGTTTGATTAAGTATCCGAACAACGTTGAACATGTAGCAAAATATTTACCGCAATAAGACGACTGTAAATTTACATTACAGTAGCTAAACTGATATTAATGGTGAAGCGTATTATGATTAAATAACCGAGACAATAAACCAAGAATTGGTAATTATGAATAAGTTGATTTATGGAATAATATACTGCAAAGTTTAAATTTTATACAATATCTAGTAACAATGCCAAGGGGATTATAGATTATTCACTTAACTGTTTTTTCTTGGAAATATAGTAACAACCACTGATATTTGAAACAACTAGTACATTTTTAATGGCCCAGAACAACAATCAGGAAGCTTTGATTCTCAACTACCTCAAGGATCGAGGTTCCATAAAAAAGTTTCAAAATGAGTGTGACTTCTAATGCAGACCTCCTTTTGTGTGAATTGAAAACTGCATGTTTAACAATAATTCCGTTATTACGTAAGTAGTTTGGCCCGACACCTTGATAAATTTGTCTTCTCCTTCCGCTTATTGGTAATCTTCTTAGACTTCGTATTTTATGTCAACCAAAACAATTCATATCTTAAACTCAACACTGTCTCAACAGACTGTTTACTTTGCCTATAGGTAGATACATGAGTCCTATGTCATCTAAAATGAACGTATATCTGATATGTTTCACCTGTAAATTTTTATTAGATTTAAAATTACAGTTGGTTTTCATTTCAGTGATTTTTTGATCTCGTTTTTTAGAATAATTGTTAAATTTGTCAAAATATTTCAGTTTAACAATAAGTAAGCACAGATTTTGTTCTCTATAATCAAATGTTTAACGGGTAGGTTTATTGCAAACATACCTACTTGTTTACCAAAATTAAGCCCAACTTTGACTTTTTCAATTTTCGAACATCAAGTTGTATTTTCTCAAAATATATTTTAAATTATACTGATTTTTGATAACTTCAGTGTGTTTCCAAAATATTAGGAAAATAATCAAAAAATATTGCTGTAATATTTTTTAGAAATCATATTTATGTAATTCTATTTCTAAAACAATCAGTAAGTATTCCAAATTAAAACATATTTTTTCTCCATTAAGTGTTTATTTAATACTTTTGTGAAATAAAATTGTCAATTTTTTGGGGATGAATAGGTATACAAATTTTAATCGATATTCTGAAAGCCCTAAATCAGTCTTGACACTTTACCAAAATTTTGAAGAATTCTTTTATAATCAACTCGTATATATAACATTAATGGCGCAATTACTCTTAACATTTTACCACCCGAACAATAGTAGTACAATTTTCCAAAAATTCTAGATGTCTATGGTGAAAATTCGACACGGATTCACACACCACAAGTACAAGAGTATCTTATTTTTTTATTTAAAAAGGTATAAATTTTGGAGATGACGTCATTCCATTGATGGTGAGGATGATTATCTAAATTTTAGTTAGCGTTTAACCATCTACATGATGTTCTTAATACACATACAAATTATGACAAATCATAATATTCCTAATACACGTACAAAATGGACAGACAGACAGACGGGCGGACGGACGGACGGGAGACCACTTTTTTCGTATTCTAGAGGTCATGACACGTCGAGAAAATATGAAAGTGGCAATTCGGCCGATGGGCTCGATTACTATACTTCCTTAACTTACGCTCGGGAAGTAATAAACACGTAAGCTTAATTGTAATCGCAATTTAATGATCTATTAAATTTAATTTATAAATATAATACATATATTGGTTGCAATTTAAAAACTGCAAGTTTGTGTCACCACCCCGATGCCATATGTGCGTCATATTTGCATTCTACTAAATTAAATTTCCCCCTTAAAGCCAAAAACAACAGCTTGTATAGAACTTCAATATCTCTATCCTTTTTCAGGATATATGGCCTCGGATTTTTGTTCATCGAGGTATAGTTCTCTGATTTTTTTTAACATGATTTTGAATCTAAATACGTAGTTTCGTACTTTCAGTGGCTCCTTTTAAATATCATCGATTTTGTTAATACCCAGTTTTGTTTTTTTTGTAGATTTTATAATCTATACAGGGTGTTATTGAAAGGTACGTACAACAAAATGGACAGTTCTTCGCGAAGTCTAAGAAGTCGGAAAAACTTATTTTGCCTTATCAAAATTTTAAGGGGAAAATTAACCCCTATCCAATCTTTTTAGACGCTACTGAAGGATAAATAGGTAAAATTAATTAATTTTAGTAAATCCTAGCAACTGTAACAATAAAACTTTTGTCAAGACTAAATGTTGCTATAGAAACGAAAGATGATCTTTTTATCAGAGGCGTACAACGAATTTGGACATAAATTTTAATAATTTTTATCTCTAAAAGGAGAACACTTTTACCTGAACTTTTTTTAACTTTTAGCACCCATACTTCGAGACCAATTGCCGATTTTATTTTGTACGTACCTTTCAATAACAGGCTGTATACTCTAAAATATTCTCGTAGTTTTTGTCCACAAGCAATTTATTCGCCTCTACACAAAAACAAAATTTTTTTAATGTTTTTCATTCATACTGAAGTTTTAACATAAGATTACATACAATATGTAATAATTTTGAAATTGCGAAGAGTGCTAATCTAGAAAGTTGAAACGTATGTTGATCTGTCTGCTTTTTTTTCATTAAGTCAGGTTCTGATTCATAAATGTTTATTATGATATTTTTTTACTACATTTAATTCAGGTTTGAATTTAGTTAACGGTATGATAAATATAGCATGAAGTTAGCAAACGTACTTTGTTTCACTCGTACGTGGAAAGCTTTGTTTCTGAATTTTCGGACACTACACTTCGGCCCCAGAATTTTTTGTCCCTGGATTATTCATAGAGAGAATTTTTCATATTGGGGTTTTCAGTGCCAAAAAATGTAATAATAATTATAAAATGTCAAATCATGTTACAATTAACAATTTTTATATCGTAGGTATGCTACGTATGTAGGTACGTCGCAACTAATATATGCAAAGGACGTTCTGTACAAGTAATATGTCATTAAACAATGTCTAAATTTTCTCTCTAAATTTTCAACAATACATAGAATTTCTTTAACAAATTGTTCTTTGCCCTTCTTTGTTCATTCAACATTTCGTAAGGCGACATTTTACAAGATCAGTCAGGTAAGGTGAGAGCAGCTATCATTGTCCTAGAAACAAACCCTTAATTTTCGTACATAAACTTAATGGTATCGTAATTTCCGGACCGTCGACTTTTATTCACTGCGAGCGATGATTTCCTGCAGCAAAAAAGTCAAAATTAGATTAGGATTTTTTATATTGGATTAATGCTGTGTACTCTGTTGTGCAGTAAGTATATGATGCATATTTTAAAGTCTCACTGTAAACAAATTTCCCCTTAGAATACGTACATGTTTCTATGTGTATCGAAATCAAACGTCGGTTCACATTAGTATACAAAATGAAAAAAACTTGGTGCGATAATAATTATTGTACGTAGCAATATACTAACGTCCATCTAATGGAACATCCATGTACTATCAATATATCAGGCATACTAGTATTCAAAAGGCAGAGTTAATATAGCCAGGGGCTTTTGATGTGGACATCAGTTTAATCGCCTAGAAATAAAGGCGATAAGTGTAGTACAGGTGAACCGTTAAACGGCTTTAATCAAACATACGATGTGCTTTGTGAGCTACCAGCAGGATCGAACCCGTTCGTTCCTAGCACACTCGTGCAATCGTTCACGATCTGTGACACTCATTATTAAATTTATGTTTGTTTCCACTGTCAGGTCCAATTAAGTTAAACGCATTTTTCTAATGCCAAACATCAACAACGTCGTAAATAGATTAGCTAACTGTTTGTTTACCGATGAGTTCTCAGATTAAGTTGCTTAATTTGCTGGCAACCTATGAATTGTCGGTGAATTCGCCATTAAATTTTAGGATTGTGGAAGAGAAATTCTCACTGTCGGAATGGACCATAAATTTTAAGAACAGGTGCTCTTAGATGTGAAACTTTTCACAAATAGTGAGGTAAAAGTTCAGTGGCCCCACGAAAATGCACTAAAACATAATTATTGTGATACTGAGAACATCGTTATTTTTTATGTGTAATATGGTCTTGTGGAAACACACATTGAAACAAGGAAATCGTCCAAGCACGTTCCGATGGTCCAATTAGAGTTGCTACAATAGTAGTCCTATAATATGTTGAAGTTGCTGTTTTTGCTCTAACTCCAAATAAAAGTTGTTCCAAACCTATTTCTTTAAATAAATTTAACTTAAGAAGAGCGTACTCGACTTAAAATTAGTTTCATACTGTCTTTTATAAGCAATATTTTTGCCTTTACTGCAAAAGAATATAAAAAAACGAATATTCATGATATTCTTACAGTTTGTCAAGACGGATATACAAATAGATCTTGACGATAAGAAAATATTCCATTTTACTCTATTGTTATTTTTTATGTCAAAATTATGCAATTATGTAATAATAACCAAATATATAGAGTGACAGTAAACTAATAACGTATAACATTCATATGTATGTTAATTTTTTACTTTTTGGACTGAACCTATGGGAAATAGCAGCTTTCTCAGAGTAGATCTGCCATTTCCATCGCTCTGTCCTCTATTGGCAATATTCTCAGATAATAATTATTCTCGGAAATTTTGGACTGTTGTGAAATTTTTGATGCATTTTAAAAATGTCGTGTAGATGCCAAAACGCTAACCAGAATGTCTCTGAGCATCTCCATCAGAAATTTGATAATGTCATCCCAAAATTGTACCATATAAAATTGTATTTTTGTACTTTGTGTTCTTAATAGCATGTTTGCGCAAAACAGTTTCTTATGCAGTTTACCTTATGCTTACACTTATAATTTATAATTATAGTTATAAGCAGAACTGATTTTCTGACACGTAAATGAATTGATTTTGCACATGAATTATTTAGAAATTTTGTCGACAATATAGAAGATGTTCAGAACTACTCAGTGCATCAGTTAATACAAAAAGAGTTTCTTTTTTAGTTGCGACATAATTAGAGTTCTAAATGACACTGACTGACATTGTAAAAAAATTCTATTATTGACTATATAGGATGTAACAATTATGAGTGTTATAATTATAAAACATAAGTTATAAGGGTAAGTGTCAGCATAAGAAAAAAATTATAAGAAAATGTTTTGGGCAAACACGCTATTAAGTCTTATTACGATACGCAATAACGACAAAATGCTTCTTATAAAAAATGTACAAAATAATACACTGCTTTTCAAACCTGTGATGTATTAAACTGCCCATGTAATATTTTGGAAAAAAAAATGTAAACCGATTGCTCTGAACGTTTTAAAACTATCGTAAACATGGTAAGTCTCTAGTCACAATTCAAGAACTTGATAACGTCAACTCAAACTTTTTTACGCGAAATTTATAATGTGACGTGCTTCTTTATTTGTTTAGTAATGCGCCCATATTTTTAAATTATAGTAATATACGAAATATGGGCACAATATATGTACATAATTATGTTACATAAAGTAATAAAATGTGAAGAAATTGAGCGTATTTGACTGTGCTTTAAGGACGACGAAAATCCATTTAAATAACTTTGGGCTAATTTTAATTCCACCGGATCCTTCTTTAAATATGATGATATTATTCGCATTTTAGACACTGATAAAACAATTTTTATTATTTTATTAGTCCATGAAAATATGCTTTGAATATTATTTAATCTTGCCAAAAGTCCAGCTCATAATCCAGGTTTATAAGGAATTAAACTATGAACATATTTGAAATAAAAACTGAATTATAGACGTTAATATTTAAATATACTGCAACAAATATCTGTAAACACAGGAAATATCAACTAATATATCAAAATGAAACTGATCTTAAAAAATTGGACCAAGGTTATTTCGATAGAACTTCCCATGCCTCTGAAGTACAATAAAAGGTATCGATTTTGCTAAATTCATTTTTTTTATGAGAAGCCCTGGAAATTAAAATAAAGATATGTATGTAACGTTAAAGAAGTCTGGTACGGGTATGTTTCAAATGAGTTTATTCTTTACAAAATTTTGTAATGACGTCATCAATATTTTTGCAAGGACATGGGTATCAGTTTGGATGCGTGCAGTTAAAATTAATAATAACAGTAGACATAAAATAAATTGACTCATTCATTATTTTTTTAGAGTCACCCGGATAAGTAATTCTAAAAAATTTAAATTCACTGATAAATTACAAATATAGACATCATATTTTGCCACATTTTAGGACTAATTTTGAGATGACGCGATCAATTTTTTGGAGGGTATAATAAATAGATGCATTTTGATTATAAATGTACCATGCTTACGATAACTTTAAAACGTCTACAAGATTTCAAAGCATTCGGTTTTGCAGTTCCTGATTTAATAAATAAAATAAATTGACACATTGATTTAATTTTTTTTTATTTTTTGAATCACCCTGTGTAAGCAATTCTAAAATATATGAATAGAATGATAAATCACAAGTGTAGTCTATATTTTGCACATTTTTGAGAATACATATTTATTCGACAAAATTTTGAAATGACGTCATCAATTTCTTGAGGGGGATAAACAACTATATTTTAATTACAAATTTACCATGTTCACGATACATAACTTTAAAATGTCTGCAAGATTTCAAAGCATCCGGTTTTACAATTCCTGATCTAACTAATCAATAAAATAAATTGACTCATGCTTTAATTTTTTTAAACGTCCTGTATAAGCAATTCTAAAAAATATTAAAAGAATGATAAATCACAAGCGAAGACTCATCATATTTTGCACAGTTTAGGTAGGATGTGTTTGACAAAATTTTGAGATGACGTCATCAATTTTTTGGGAGGGGATAAAGGAATAAATTTTGATTAACGATTTACTATCATGACGATAATCTTAAAACGAAAATTTTTAGAGCATTTGGTTTTGCAGTTTCAAAGTTAAATTGCAAAACGTTGTTACACATTTTTTTTTTTCAAAAATCTGGATGCCTAGGGTGAACACGAACATCACAAGTGGAAGAGTATCTTATTTTATAAAATTAATAGGGAGTCGGAGAATGGACTCGATTACAATACTTTCTTAGCTTACGCCTGGGAAGTAAAAAGAAAACAATAAAACAGAACAGCAAAACAAATAATAATTAAGACTCGCTCTGTAACTAAATTCACCCATCGAAAACCAAAAGTTGTATTTAACTATCTCCTCATAGGGTAGTCTTTGAATTATTATATATCAATGTATAAGTAAATTCAAAATTTCAACATTTGGGAGAACTTTGTCTTGTAATTCTGTAAAATTATTCGACTGAGTAGATCTATGTCGTTTTTTTTTTGTATCTATGACATCTTAAAACTTCTAAATACCTGTGTTTGTTTTTTAAGAAACTATATTTTGCGTACACACAACCGGAAATTACAAGGACGCATTTCCATCAAACATTTTGAAGTACTTACTTATATAAATTAGTGTGTATTCTGAAAATTCCATTCATCAACTAACTGTAACTGTTTTTCTTGTCATAGCGGAGTATTAACTTCATATTATTCACATATAATAAATAACCTGAAACGAAACGTTAAAATTTAACATCAGAGATTTAAAATTCGCTTTTAGAATTAGCCACTTTTATTTCGTTGATAAATTTGATATTTTACGTACATAACGTAGCACTAAATCTTTTAGTATTTTATCGCGTCTATCAGCATTTTGTAAAATTTGTAATTCAATAACTCAGAAGGATTTATTTATTCGATAAGCACCGCATATATGTATAAAGGGAATTAAAAAGTTCTCCAACAAAACCGAAAAAAACGCAACGAAAAAAGTACATATTTGCATAATAATTACAAACACAATTTCACCGCCTATCAACAGAATTCGTTTTCGAGTCTTCGCACGTTTCCACTGTACCTAATATAATAATAAGAACACAAGGAAAGTCGAGAAACCTAAAGAACCTCCATAAAAACCGCCGCCACATACGGAGAACAATCAACAAAAGCGACATTTGGAGTGTGATAAGAATTAAATAATTGTACAAAACAGCCGTTCCTACATGTACATTTACAAAACATGTTTTTATTATGCGGTTCTCTTTATTACAAAAATTAACCCGGCTAGAGAAAAGGGCGCCAAATCGACAATCATTTGCGTGACTCAACAAAATTAGAGTTCTCGTGTTGAAGGTAGATATAATAACCGTAGGGGGCGAGGGGTTGATAACAAAAGCCGTGTCTCCACTAACTCGTAAATGCTTTGAAAACTACCGTGTACGCTGCTGTACAGTCTTTTCTATTTGTTACGACTAAAATGTTTAAACGACATAACAGCACTAATTCCTATGCTATATCCTACAATACGTGGTCTTACAAACAGATTAAATAAAACTCTTGTTTCGATTTCAGGTGCTGACGGCCAACATCAATACGTATCTGGAATCTAAAAAAGACTTGGATCCGCCAATATGGGGAAGCAAGATTCGGTTCTATCCATACAGTTATCACAAAAGGACAGTCTGTATGCGAGTTGAGCTGTATGGCTGCAGGTGGACAGACGGTATAGTGAGCTACTCGATGCCGCAAGGTGACAAGAGGGGATCACATTGGGAATTCTATGATTTCGGATATGATGGCCATTGGGATGGAGACGAATTAAAGCACGGTTTAGGTCAACTGATCGATGGGAAATTCGGTCACGACGACTTTAAAACCGACTTTTACAACGAGGAGCAAGCGTGGGTTGGATGGAAGAACGATACTCGACAAAAACCTATTGAAATCAAGTTTGAATTCGATAAAGTTCGCGAATTTTCCGCCGTTCATATATACTGCAATAACCAGTTCACAAAAGACGTTCAAGTATTTTCACATGCCAAAGTTATGTTTAGTGTAGGAGGAAAGCGGTTTAGAGGTGAACCGATAACGTATGAGTACATGGAAGACAAAATATTTGAAAATGCGCGAAATATATCGATTAAACTTCACCACAGGGTGGGACGTTTCGTCAAGATACAGCTACACTTTGCCGCAAAGTGGTTGCTCGTTAGCGAAATAACTTTTGATTCTGTTGTTGCTCATGGAAACTTTACGGTGGAATCAGAACCGACTACCGTACCTTCGGTCAAAGGTCACAGTGGTGACAGACATCATGAACACAAAATAGAAATTCCGGTTCCTAATAAGATAAATGAACCGGCATACTTGACAATCATCGTGATTGGTTTAGCTTTTATTATACTTTTATTAGGTGGTGTCATTTACCTAATTATTCACCGCTTCCGTAACAGAAAATTCTTCCGAAGCCCCAACTCTTCGAATATTGGTTTTCCGGGCGACACTTTACCGCACCTACAGCCAGAATCTGTGCTGGGAATTAGCGAAAAAGGCAGCTCCATTGAAGCGTATGGCGTTACAGAGATCGAAGATTATCGCAGGAGTCATGGGACTCTGAAGTCGAGTTTAAGGTCGACTTTACCACTACCACACCCTGGGCACATGACTGAAAATAACGAATATCAGGAACCATATCAAGCTTTAAAGTATGCGCCATATTATAGCTATAGTTCCGTTGTGATGGAAATGCAAGATGTCATGCCTAACAGTATTAAGAAGTGTCCCATACAACAAATAGGTGAGTATCACAGTTTTTCTTAAAAAGCTATTTATTTTATGTCTAATAGGTACTGAAAATATTTCTATAGAAAAATTCGTTTCACCTAAATTATGATTTTTGAATTCAAATATTACATATTTTGAAGATGAACTGACCACAACCCGGAAATAATAACTGAACCGTGGGCTTTCGGCACATATGATATAAGTATGTAAATAATAATAACTATAATAAGTATTGTGTTCAGATTTACAATGTAAATTTACCATCGTCACAGAAATAACTAAATATATGTGTACCTAAGTATATGTATATTAAATACTACATCACAATCTGTTATTTAAGTAAAACATAATATTAATCAGGTCATTAACCACATATTGAAAAAAAGGCCTCAAAATCGTTAAAATTACTAAATTTTATATACCGTGGTAAAGCGTTATAAAGTCCGATACAATAATAGAAAATACCATTACTTGACTTATGTACTTAGTTTAAGGAAATCCGTTGTATGTAATGTTTGTTTCTAGTGGGATAAACATGATTCTGGATACTGTAGGTATTACATGGGATTAACACGATAGCAAAGAGCGGCTATGATTCTGACACACTTTCTTTGAAAATAGAATAATTTGTTACACTGTGCCAAGTGACCTCAGATAAGAATTCCATAAGAAATACTACAGTGTACATTTGCGTAATAAGTCGTTAAAAATGTTTTTAAAGAAGCATTTTCATACAGTCTACTTATAAAAAAACAATTTATTAGACACTTTTTAATTAACATGAGGCTCCCAAGTCAACTTTAAGCCCAACATAACACCAATAAATAATACAACCCCGCTATGTACTTCACCTGAACGAAGTGAAAATGTAATTCACTTAATTTTATTACCATTTGTTTTATTAGCGTTAAACAGTGCCTTGATTTTTGTTTTATGTACGTGAAGTATTGATCTAAATGATTATTAACATTTAAAAGAAATGATATATCGTCAGCAAAAAGCAAAAATGTTCATTCATTACAAGATGTTGGTAAATCATTTATGCAGATCGAAAAAAGTATAGTCCCCAGAACAGAACCATATGGAACGCCGGAAAGGACAGAGAGTTATTGCCTTCGTTCAGATAAATACGAACGTTTTAACGTAAAGGGATGGATGAATAGTTCTTCGATTTAAAGTTTTGTAAGACGTCGCAGCAATTAGAGCTAACAGTTGGCCCGTTGATTCGTTATTACGAACCAAATTGGGTATTACGTAATACTTAATTTCAAGGTGTTCATTAAATTGTGTTTAAAATTATTTAAAAAACTTAAATTTATCTACACAAATCTTTGCCATTTTTCAAATTGTGAAAATAAAATTTAAGTACGAACGTCGACTTAAAATGTTTACTATAATAATACTGCCATGAGAATGGCATAAACTTCCGTTGGAATTAATAGTGTTAATAATAAGAACAAGTTGCAATATAGTGCAACCCGCTCAGTACTACTATCGTGTCATTTTTTTTATTTCTGCTCGGGTTGGCCATGACGCTTACGTCAGCCGTTTCAGTTGCACTGCTGACGTACGCGTCATGGTCAACTAGAGCAGAAATTTAAAAAATCACACGCTACTAACCAAAAGCAAATGGTAGGAGTTGAAAAAATAAATGAGTTTATTTTTACAACTGTATTGCATGCAAAACGATCTAGAATTTTGCATATTTTTTTTTATTATAACTAACGGAAAAGACGTGAGCGTGATCTGAAAAACATCGGTGTATTAAACTGTTACAATGTTAAAAAAAGGTAAATAAGCCCTAATGTAAAAATAAGTAAATAGAAGCATTTTGTATACATAATTTGTAAGGAATTAGCAGAAAAAGCTTTTAATTATTTTAACAGTTGTACAGCGTGATTTCTCAAAAACAATTTTGAGAAAATTTTCTTCCACGGCTATTGCCAAACGTAATTCAAATGTTTGGCACTGTATCATTTTGAAGTACTCAAGAAAATTTGGTTAATGGTTATGGCATTTTTAACATATTTTGCCGCAAATTATTAAATGTTACTGTCATTACAATACCAACTGAAACACTACGTATCTACTAGGTCACGCTGTATATTCGTTTAGTATGAGAGAAAATTAAGTCTTTTTCTCACAAATATTAACATTTTTGCTGAAATTGGCAAAATTCACACTGTATTTACAAAAAAAATTGAGTTGGATACGAAAATTAAATTACTGCTGCGACCCTTCAACTCGTTATTCCATTTAGAAGATAACGCTTCAAAATATAATTATTGTGACTGATTTAATTTTGTAAGGAGTATATAATTATGCTGTTGATTATTTATAATATTTTACGCACAGTACTTACGAAAGTTTTTTATAATAGCTAGTGCCTTAACGTAAAAAAAAAGTATTTCTTGGAACACGATTTAGCAAATTAGGGTGTCAGGCGAAAAGTATAATAATAACTATTAACTATGGTTTATGTTAGTAATAATTATTGTTATGCTGCAACTACTTCTCTTATAAATTTATCAAGACTAAATATTTAATTTGGATTTTCTTCTTTCATAGACGCTTATGACTACGCAGTGCCTGAACCTGGTACTCTTCCGCTTCTTGGTTCGGATAACACACTGCCAATTGCTCGAAGTCGTGTCAGTAGTGTATCGCTGAAAAGTCAAAAAATGAACTCAAGAAACAGTCACAGTGAAGGAAAAAGGGTAAGAAGATTTACTTTCTTTTTATCGTAATTAATATCCGGACGGATCTACAGTCTCCAACTCAACAGGAGGCCCTCACTGCGCTAAAGAAGAGACTGGAAGACACTCAACTAGTGGAGTTTCCTAGACACCGACTGCGAATGTTATCCAAACTGTCAGAGGGAGCATTTGGAACTGTAACTATACAATTTCTTTGGGTATGAAAAACATAATAAAAAAAATACGATTTCAGGTGTATATTGCTGAGGCGGATGGTATATCAGAATATTCCTCCTCCATGTCGTTAGGAACAAGATTAGTCGCTATTAAATTTTTAGGTGAAAATGCATCTGAGAAAGAAAAGTGAGTTCATTGCAGTCAACTTCATACATATAAATTTAATGCATTTTCCCATTATTGCAGAAAAGATTTTTACCGCGACGTTAGAATCTTGGCAGCACTGGAGGACCCCAACATAGCACGTGTTTTGGGCATTTGTAGTCAGGAGGAACCAATTTGTGTGGTGATGGAGTATTTAGATCACGGTGATTTGTGTCAGTTTTTAAAAACACATGTTGCTGCGGACAACAATAGCAGTTTACCCTATGGTGTAAAGTCACTTTCTTTCAATTGCCTTTTATATATGGGTGCTCAAATAGCTTCAGGCATGCGTTATTTGGAGTCCCTTAACTTCGTACATCGAGATTTAGCGACGAGAAATTGTTTGATAGGAAAAGGATATCACATTAAAATTTGCGATTTTGGTACTTACAACGAAGTTTATATAAATGATTATTACAAAGTAGATGGAAACACACCGCTACCGATCCGATGGATGGCCTGGGAGTCCGTGTACCAAGCAAAGTACACAACGAAGAGTGATGTATGGGCTTTTGCTGTTACTCTATGGGAAATTTTGACGCTGTGTAGGAGACCGCCTTATGATTCTTTGCCAGATCCTGAAGTCATGGAAAACTTAGCACACATGCACTGTGATGATGGACAGTATATGTATCTACCTCGACCTTCTGCTAGCAAAGATATTTATGATTTAATGCTAGAGTGCTGGAGACGTAAAGATGTTGAAAGGCCAAGTTTTAGAGAAATTCACATATTCTTGCAGAGGAAAAATTTAGGATACGCTCCTACGTAGTTTAGGAAGACTGGTTAGCTATAGAGGGATCAACATTCATGTATATAGAACACAGGGTGATAACGTCTATTTTTATTTAAAAATTGTATATGTTCGAGATTTTGTTCAGTGAAAAATGTGTATATTTGGTTAGCTTGTATATTTAAATCGTGAAATGTATGTTTTTATTAACAGATTTGATTTTATCGAATACACCAATCAAAAAGTTCAAGTGATTCACGTCGTTTGTTCGTAATGATATAATTAATTATTAAGAAAACACAAAGTAGCAAATAATTATGAGGTGAGTCTATTTTTTAAAGTCTGTTAATACAAACAATGTGTACCTATCCATGCTTTACTCATTTGTTATATGAACTCTTTCACAAGGCACAATAATTGAAGACAATGTATAGATAATATTGTAAAAGTAATATCAGTGTTATATAATTATTATATTTACTAGTCAATTGAGGCGCCTAAATAAAATATTTTCAACGACTTAAGATGTCACAAAAAGGAGCTTATGAAGGAAAAGGGAGTAACGAAAAAGCATTCTAAACTGTATAACTTTGACATTAGATAGAGTATTAACAATATGCGCTCCTGTGCTTTACAAGTGATGTCTATTTATAGAAGTAAAACTTTTCTAGTTACCAAAAGAACGTAATTCTTGATTGAGTTTCCGTATTGTTTTTATACTCGCTGAAACTGTATGCTCGAAGATGTATGTACCTACCGTAATAATTTTAAGAATCAAGTTTATTTACATATATATTTGAATATTTTTTTAATGTGCCAATAAGCTTCAATTATAGCAAATTGTTATTTATTTTAGCGTACTTACTTTGCTTAATTCTACATGTAAACTTTCAACTATTAGATACATATTCTATGTTTCATAACGACATACTCACTGCTAAAGTATTGAAACATTCCAACATAATGTAAGTGGCACAAATTTTATAATAACTCTTTGCAATAATCCTTTTGTGATTTTGTTGTTGTGCATTTCAATTTCTGCAAATAATAATTATGTCAAGTAATAATAACATATCAATTTAATAAATTGTAATTAGATATATTACTTTACCCCGATATTTTGTTTTATTAATAATTATTTATGAAAATAAATCTTGAAAAGATTTTAAAATTTTGTTTTACTTATATTCTCCGCTGTTTTTTTTAATTACCATCATTTTACCCATTTTCCCCTTCCAGTCAGTATAGACTTTAAAAATAAAAAAGGAACGTTTCATGTGATAAACAATTTATGGCGAATTTCCATACGCACACAGTCAGATTCATTTGTTGGTAAATTGCAAACCAGCAAAAGGTCTTTCACATGTAGTAGTGATAAACAAAAAGATACAACAAAAATAGTAGATATTTAATTTAAATTAAAATTTAAAATTATACTTCTCTCTTCAACATTGTAATTATTGAACCAATGTTGTTTCAATGTTGTACAATGTAGTAAAATCCAATAACGAGGCAAATAGAACTTCGTAAGTATATCCTAAATGAATAGGCTATATTGTAATAAATTATCAATTGTTGCTGTGGTGGTCTAACACGACGGTATTCATCGTCACCTGTGAAAGTAATTGTTACAATCGAAATGGACTTTTTGTCAACAAGCTGTAAAATATACTAAGTGCAAAAAAAATCCGAACACCTTGAAAACGTCAATATTTTTAAATGAAATTTTATACACACATTGGTTGTTGTATAAGTAAGAAATGATGAACATATGAAGACAATTGAAGAACTTTTACGTCATTTTAATTTTTATTGTCCTGATTTGAGGTCTAGCAAGATGGGGCTGTTCTGTAAAATTTTGACGTTTTTCGGTATTCGATTTCGACAATTTAAATTCCTTAAAAAGCCGTTAACATGCCCCCAGTGCGAAGACGTCTTCAGTATTCACAATTAGGTGATTTTGATAAGGGTCGAATAATAGGCATGCATGAAGCAATATTGTCCTTTAGAGAAATTGCAGTTCGTGTTAACAGAGTTGTGTCTACAGTGACGGAATGTTGGTAGGCGTGAAGTCAAGACGGTAGAAGACACAGAGCTACAGGATCCGGGCGACCAAGAGCTACCACGGGGCGCCAAGACCATCGTCTGCGTTTGTTAGCTCTAAGAAACCGAAAGTCTACAACTCGGGCAATTGCCAACGAATGGTTTGCTGATGTTGTTAGACCTATAAACATGCGTTCCGTATACTACCGTATTAGATCTTTTGTCCTTAAAACTTACCACCTACACTTTGTTTTACCTTTAACACCTGCACATAAGCGTCAACGACTCGAATGGTGCAGGGAACGTAGTGGATGGGACAAGGAATGGAACACTGTTCCCTTCAGTGACGAATTGCGCATTTGTTTATCCATGCATGATGGCCGTATGTTAGTGAGAAGAAGACGTAGAGAAAAACGAAATCCTCAATTTGCTGTGGAAAGACATGTACACCGCACAGTAGGATTAATGGTGTGGGGGTGCATTGCTTACGGTAGTAGATCTACGTTAGTGTTTATTAGGGGGAGTACGACCTCTCCGCGATATGTGGAAGAAGTGGTAGAACCATATCTGCTTCACTTCTTAAGAACGCAACTTGGGCTTGGTTTTCAACAAGACAATGCGCGTCCACACATCGCTAGAAACACTTTTAACTTTTTTGAAGAGTATGAAGTGGAGTTATTGCCATGGCCTCCTAGATCTCCTAACCTCTCACCCATAGAACATGTACGGGATATGATAGGACGACGTTTAACTCATCTTCAGCGGCCACCACAAACTTTAAACGACCTGAAGCGTGAAGTATAAGCTACTCGAGATGAATTAAATCAGGATGACATTGATCGACTCATTAGGTCCATGGCAAGACGTGTAAACGAATGCCTCAATAACAGGGTTGCTCCAACCCATTACTAGCTTAGGTGTTAATATTTCCATTTGAATTTTTCATCATTTACTAGTAGTGAGTAGTAGACTGTAAACCCAAAAGATTTTCAAAAAATTATTATTCTATCCAAGTGTTCGGATTTTTTTTGCACTTAGTATATATGCGCAAAAAAACAGTACATCTATGTGTATTCTAAATTTAAATTTATTATATTCGTCTCTTTCAACTTGGAATGGGTAGTGGCAAACATACTAAGTGTTATTTAGGTATATGACTGCAAAGGTCATTTTCTCTCAAAGTTAAAATTTGTTACTCGTGTCGTATCCTTATTCAAATGACTGACAATTTAAATCTTTCTATTGATTATTATTATTGGTAGAAAATATTTAGGTGAAAACAGCGGATTTCACTTTAATACATCTTCATCTATGTGTTTATATGTTAAAAATAATTATGATCAGTTACATACTCTTCGCTATTGAGATTTTTATACATTTAATTTCCAAGTCACGTTATATTTTAACATTCTTGTTATAACTGATAATGTAAAGTCGCAAAAAATATTATAGATAATGCAAAAGTAAATCCGTACTTAAAGAGCTAGTAAAGATATTAGAGTTTAACATGAAGAATTAAGAACATTCGTATTATATGTATACAATTGTCATCAAGTAATATACAGGCTGACAGCGAAATACATGCAAAAAAAAATGGGGAATAGGTCACAATATGACTATGTCACTGGCAAAAATTCACGGTCCTAAGTGGTAGCAGTGTCTAGAAAAAATTATTTGAAATTAAATGTAAATTGTTATACGCGCCGCTGGTAATGTTTCGTGACCTACATAATTACTGCAATGAATGGCAGGCGGCTCGGTTTAAGAACCAAAAAAGTAACTTTATCAGGCACTTTTTTAATCGCAACGTGAAAAACACGAAAAGGGCCAGTGATTATCGAGCGGTCGTTGAAATCGGTGTATGGTAGAGTTTTCCAATGCAGAGCGTGTCGATATGGTAATTTGTGTGTGCGAACATTTGCATCAGTGGTACAGCATCTCCGAGATCATGGTACCTTCAGCCTCAAACTCACAATCGTGGTCGTGATGGGACAGAAAGAAGAAATTGGATTTTCGCAACTTGTAGTGCATCCTACATTAAAAAAAAGAACACGGTCACATCCATACCATGTTGACAAAGTGCACGGTTTTGAGCCCGCTGATTGTCCACGTTGTGTAACTCACTTTTTGTGAGTCCACATAGTCGTCAACAAGTACGATTTCAAGAGACGGTTTTCGAGAAACGTGTATTGGTTGGATGAAACAATACGTTTGTGGAAATCAACAGTGTTCAGAAATTATCTAAGAGCTTCAACAAGTGAAAGTGGCAGCCGCTACTCCGGTGTTTTTTTACCTATCAACAAACCTCTTGCGACGCTCTAACGCCTGTATTGTTAGTCAAGAACAACATTTTCAACATTTCTTGTAAAAAGGTAGTAGTATTCTAAGTTGCTCTTATTTCTGTTCCAATAAACAATGTAAAATCGTTGTGACAAGGACCAAACATCCGTCAGAATCAAAATTACCAAAAAACTTTCACACTGACCTTTAACGATGAATGAGTAAATGAATGAACGAATGATAAGCAGCAAAAAGTCGGTTTTACTTTTAATTGAAACTGAAAGTGTTTAGGTCGTTTTTATTCGAACGTTTTTCCAACTCTGTTTACAAGGTGGCTCAGTGCCTTCGTATCGAGGGTGGTTCATGGGGGTTTTGCCCCATTCGATTTTTAATTTGTTTTTTCTATATTTCGGCTCTACTAGGGTGGGGGATGCCGTGGTTAAAATATTTGCACATATTTCGCAGTAACCCTGTATAATGTGTCTGTATACGAAATGCAACCCAAAATACATTTTCACCACTATTGTGAATATTATTATGGGAGTAATTACAATTGCACGGACGTTTTACTAATACCACCCATTGCTGCAACTATTGTTTGGCTGCAGTGGGGATTTTTGTTAACCATTTCGTCCACGGTGTTTTTGCGTAAATTGCTAATTCTCTCTCAAGAAACTTTCTTTCTAGTCTTTTAAAAAATGGTATCTGTAGGTGTTCTTCTTTCAAGAAAACGCTGTGAATAAACACGGGCTGCCAAAGAGACGTCTTTTGGGATTCGCCGTCAAATTAACAGAATGTCTACTTTTTCGTCAATCATATAGGTACATTTTTTTTTCGGAATACAAATGGCAAAAACTGCCAAAATTTGAACTTTCTCTATAAGTACGTTGTCTTCAAGAATACGATTACATATCGCAAAATTTAGTGAGTAGAGTGGACCCCACTGCTTGATAATACCGAATTATTGTATTATCTTCCAAATTACATACCCTTGCAAAATTTCAAATCGATACGATAATTAGAAGTAGGTTAAAATCGACTTCATAGATTTGTTTACATAGCTTGTTATAATACAATCGTTGAATACCGAATGCGGATCGAATCTGATGGAACTTTCAAGGTCGGGGTAGTTTTGAACTGACCAATCACAACTCATTTCCAGTGGGGTGAGCGTTACCAACTTAAGAGAGTAACAGCTAAACTTCGAGCTACGAAACTGGAAGAAACATCGTGCATTGATAAACACTTTACCTCCGTTAACTGCTAGTTACCCTTATCTGACAGTTACTTAACAGACACTTTTAACTGAGCATTGATAAACCGGCCCTAAGACAAACGCCTTTTCGTGCATGGCCAACTTTGATTAATTTCTTTTTCGATCTCTCTGTATTTATTTATAGGTGTACCTACTTGTTTCATTTTTAATTTCCAATACTTTTTTTCTAATGCTAAATTTTGCTTTTTCATGATTGATCACGTGAA